ATTCCCTTTACCATAGCTTCAAAGAAAATGGAATACCTGAGAACATACCTAACAAAAAGGTGAAGGACCTCTACATAGAAAATTATGAAACCCTAAAGAAAGAAATAGCAGAAGATATTAACAAATGGGAGAATATATCATGCTCATGGCTGGAAAGAATCTACATTGTTGCAATGTCTATACTTACTAAAGCAATCTACAGATTCAGTCAGTGCAATCCCAACATCGTACTTTGAAGATTTGGAAAAAATAGTTGTTTGTTTCATATGGAACCAGAAAAAGCCCCGTGTAACCAAGGCAATACTTAGTAATAAAAACAAAGGCAGGGGCATCACTGTACCAGACTTTGGGCTATATTACAGGACCATAGTGATCAAAACAGTATGGTATTGCACAAAAATAGAGACATAGACATTTGTAACTGAATGGAAAATGAGATAAAACTAATATCTTTCAGCCACCAGATCTTTGATAAACTAAACAAGAGCAGGCACTGAGGAAAAAAATCCCTATTCAATAAATGGTGCTGGGAGAACTGGATAATCACCTGTAAAAGACTGAGTCTGGACCCACACCTTTCACCACTTACAAAAATTGATTTAAGGTGGAGAAAAGATTTATATCTAAGGCATGAAAAACAATAAAAATGCTAGAAGAAAGTGTCAGAAAAACTGTTGAAGATATTGGCCTGGGAAAAGATTTTATGAAGAAGACTTCTGTGGCAATTGTGACAACAACAAAAATAAATAAGTAGGACTTAATTAAACTGAAAAGCTTTGGTACAGCTAAGGAGACAGCAACCAAAGCAAATAGACAACGTTCAGAAGGGGAAAAGATACTTGCATATTACACATTGGACAAAAGCTTGATAATTAGGATTTACAGAAAACTCAAATTAATTAACAAAAAAAGAGCTAACAGTCCCATCTATTACTGGGCAAGAGACATGAATAGAACCTTTTCTAAAAAGACAGACAAATGACTAACAAACATATGAAAAAATGCTCATCGTCTCTAATCATCAGAGAAATACAAATCAGAACCACCCTGAAATATCACCTAACCCCAGTAAGATTAGCCCACATCTCAAAGTCCCAAAGCTGCAGATGCTGGTGCAGATGTGGCTAGAGTAGAACACTTGTACACTGTTTGTGGGACTATGAAGTAATATAGCCTCTTTGGAAAGAAGTATGGGGAATCCTCAAAGAACTCAAATTAAATCTCTCATTTGACACCACAATTCCACTACTAGACAACAACCCAGAAGAAAAAATCTTTTTATTATAAGGACATTTGTATTGTTTATCACAGCTCAATTTATAGTCACCAAGATGTGGAAACAGCCTAAATGTCCATTAACTTAAAAATGGATTAACAAATTGTGGTATATGCATACCATGGAATACTATTGGAATTCTATTAAGGCATAAAAAAGATGATGACTTCACATCTTTTGTAATATCCTGAATGGAGTTGAAACACATTCTTCTTAATGAAGTATCACAAGAATAGAAAAGCAATTATCTAATGTACTCAATACTAATATGAAGCCTGTAGATGATTTAATACAGGCCTATGTAGGTGAAAAACTTTTCAATTCAAATTGGGCAGGGAGGGCAAATGAGGGAGGGTGCTCTCACTGAATGGGCATGGGATGGGGGTGTTTGGCACACCTTTTGTGTAGGACATAACCACAAAAGGGACTCTACCTAACAAAATCAAATATTTCGACCTGCTTTTTGGTACCCTCACATTAACTTGAAATAAATTTACTTTTCAATAAAATAAAAAACCAAAAAAATCATGAACAAACTCTTTGATAGCCAGAAATTTCAACTTGTGCATTTCTCTTTTTGGATCATGTTTGCGGTTTACTTTTCTAAAGGTTTTCCCTAATATATTTTGTGTTTGAATGTCTTTTTTGTGATTTCTTTTTTTTTTTTT